ACACTAAAAATGATTATAGAATGGTCTATAATTAAGGAAACTAATATAGGTCATTTGATAGAATGTTTGAAGATTTTGAATAAAATAATCAAATTATCACTGCAAAATTATAAATAAACATGTATTTTTCATGTGTGAAAGAGATCTAAAATGGGAGAGAGCTTAGATATCTAAATGCCCCTAAAATTTTGCCTGGCAATAAATACTTTGGATATTCATCAGCAGCCACCTTGTTCTGAATGTTGGCTCCCAAATATCATCTTAAGCCCATCGATGCTGACACTTGTCATTATCTAGCTATGAACGACATTACCCAATAATTTTTTTTTGACAATTGTTAATTAATGTCAATGACCATCATCGTTTAAATAGGTTCGACGGTGGTGGTCAAGCGACGAAGGTTCGGCAATGGCAGTTAGTCGATGAAGTTCATGTGGCGATGGTGCCCGACTGGGGCTCCGAGATTTCAAGCCTTTAAACTCAATTGAGTCTCTAGCAAAGTTTTAAGCTCCAAGTCCCTCTCCTCTCATGTTGAGAGTGGGGGCCCAGGGGTGAAAACAAGTCGAGTCGAGCTCGAGTCATGCCTAACTTGAGCTGGACTCACGAGCCAAATCTCGAGCTCAAACTTAAGCTTGAACACAATTCGAGCTCAAAAAAAGGGAGCTCAAGCTCAGCTCATGGTTGTGGATATTGTCTTGCGAGCCAGCTCGTGAGGCATATTGATTCTGCGTCTGTGACCTGCATGTTTATGCTCAGCCTTCTATGATTCATCCTTCCACGTCTGAGCCCACCATCGCAATTTCACCTTCCGCGTCCGAGCTTGTCCAAGCCCGTCCCCGCGATTCCCTATCCAAGCTGTCCAAGCCCGCCCCCACGATTCCATGTCCAAGCGCGTCCAAGCCCACCCCTGTGGTTCCACCTTCTTCCTTACTCCTTCGACTTTTGCGGTTCTGCTTCTTTACTTAAGCCGCTCTATGAGTAATCGAGTTGAGTATTATCTGGATCGAACTCGAGCTCGATAATCCAACAAGCTTGAAATTCTAGTCGAGTTAGAAACTCGATAAGCTCTACTCACGAGCTCCTTAACGAGTTTAGCTTGAGCTGGCTCGGCTCATTTGCGCTCCTATGGGGCCTATTCAAAGATTTTTTAGAAGGCATGCCCTGTAAATATGTTGAAAATTTATAACACTCTATTGGATAGCCCAAATGATTTTCTTGATCATAAAGCATTTGTTCAATATTTAGGTGTAATTAAAATGTAGGAATTAGGTACTCTTAGGCTCATTAGATTTTTCTCATCGGGATGCCCAATTAGACTATAAGCATCCCAAATTTGGGAATCATTCGATCATACAATTAGCCTCATGAAGTTTCTAATTTTACTTTCTACCCTTGATTTGGGCTCATTCTCAGTCGGATTTTATCTTTTTTATGTCATTGGATTCATCAGTTAAGACATTCTTTTTAAGACATTCTTTTCCCCTATAAGGTTGCTCAAATTAGAGTCCATATGATCCTGAGATTCATGCCTGATCAAAGCAATTTTTTTTGTAATGTTTCAAGTCTAATTTCTTACAAATATTAAAAAATAAAAAATAAAAAACAAATATAAATTTAATAAAAATGTAGTATAGTACATGTCACTCACCAAACCACATAAGAAATATTAATAACAGCTTTCTTATGTTATATATTTTCTAACATTTTCCAAAAATAATGATAGCAGCGCCATTTTTTTCTAAGTACCAAATATCAAAAGCAATTAAAATTTTGGTAAAAAAAAACTTTCACCAACTTGCTACATACAAATAAAAATAAATTATTAAGAACATATACTTTATAAGGCTTATACCTTTTGAGATTTTTTTGGAGAATATGCATTACTTAGGGCTTATGCCTTATAATACTTTTCATGTGATACTTTATAAATGACTTCTTACCTTATTTTTTTATAGATATACTTTATAAAGCCTTGTAATCTTTGGAGATCCTATTTTTCACTAGCTCTCATGAAGGCTTTCTAATAAAGATAATATTCGCTATCATCTACCGCTTGCCCTCATGGAAGTTTTTAATTGGAAATCAAAATGCAATATTGTTTATAAAATTTATTTAGAAAAAGTAGACATCTGCTTACCTCTATAAGGCATAATAAATATATTGGTTATTACGTTTGATACGTTAGATATACATGATAATCGAGAATGAAATGTTGGATAATTGCACATTCGGGATGAAGACTCCTGAACATTATGACTATGAGTTTTTTGTTTTATATTCCTTAAGGAAAATCCCTCCTAAATAAAATGTTAAAGTTTATTGCTTATGAGAGTGAGGTCATTCAAATCTACTAAAGATGCTAGAAGATTAAAGGTTGGCAGAGTACCAAAGAAGGATGGGTTGAACAAGTTTTCTCCAAGAGGTCTTGATAAGGCTATGATGAAGGAAAAACTTTAAGGTGAGGGAGCATTCTTCTAAGAGCTAAAGTATTTGATCTATATACTCCCCATCATTTGCAAATAATCCTTTAAAAGCAATTTTGGATGGTTTTCACCAATTGTATTATGTTATCCTTCATCGATGGATTAGTTGTTTACTATTAAAGAGTATTTATAGTGTATTAAAAAAGTTTCTCACAAACAACTTCAAATTATTATGTGCTAGAATATTCATGATGACAGAATGAGAAATTAATATCTAAGTTTTATACGAAGATCTAGTACACACACAAATAACAAAATGTTACAAGCAACATCAAAACTTTTATTTGAAAATTAAACAAGAGAAAAAATTATAGGGCATAACTAAATTAAAATGATTCCACTCGTGTATATCATAGATTATGAATGATACTCTTCCTCATAATTTGGGAAAGCATTGATATGATGTACTAGGCATGAAATGTTTACAATAGATCATGAAATTGGAAGAGCCTTAAGACATTAAAGTTATATTCAGATTTCCATTTTTGATATGTTTGGTCATTCTTTTTTGAGGAGAGAATACCACATACCAAGAAAGCTACTATATTTTCTTAGTGTTGACATTAAAAATCAAAAGATGGCATTGATGTAGTGCATAAATCTTTTTAGTAATGGAGTGTGCAGATGTCACGCGCGATGTTAGGTGATGATATTGATGAGTTTTGGCCTTGGTATCAATGTAATATATCAATCATATAAACGATAGCGTGCATCGACAACATACCTTGACCTTATAGGCATGACATTCATTAGTGAGGTGCATTGGTCTTATAGGTGATAGAATACATATACATTATTAGCAATGATAAGCGACAATCAATCGATGTCAGTGAAATGGGCGATAATAGTTATATTATGGTGATTGAGAGATAATTTTCAGCTATAATAGTTGGACTCTAGTTGTAATCAAGTAACATTTGTTAGGAGATAATAGTTGTGCCACAATAATATGGCGATGATTGTTAGGAAACAGTAGTCCTCCACAATATTTGGATGACAATAGATGGGCAAAGGTGAATGAGCCATGACAATTAGAAGATGGCGATGGCTGACAATGATCACTAGAATTAAATATCGAGTAAAGATCTCGAGTTCCGCAAATTTTCAAGCTCTCCATAATCTCAAGGCAATATCTTCAGGTAGAGCATGTTGCTCTCTTTATAGTTTTCTTATTGATGTTTTGATAAATTTAGCCAAAATTTAAAAATATTGCATCGAATGGACCATATTGATTATTTTTAATCATATATAATTCTTTTTGTATTTAAATATCTTAGCAATCTCAAAATTTAGTGATTTGACTTCATTATTTTTCTCTCATCTAGATGAACTTTTATTTGGTCGGATCACAGGACGTAGCTCTACGTTTGGACGCCAGTAGAATCGCGCCACGCGTTCTCATTATTTACCGCGCGCCCCAACAACCCAACCCGGAACGGACCCAGGATGGCTCGGTATTTCTCGATTTTGCTAGGTATTGCTCGATATTGCTAGGTATTGGTCAATTTTGGCAATAACCAATACCGAGTTGTAGAAAAACTCGGTACAACTCGGTATTGCTCCGTATTGCGCTCAGTATTGATCTTCACAGAGAGGTATTTCTCGTTATTGCCAAAGCATACCTAGCAATAACCGAGTAATACCTTCGCAATACGCGAACATAAGCATTTCCGGTTTCCGGTCCGAGTCAAGTCTTTGTCGGATCCGAACCGCGTAAAGAGTACAAGAGCACGTGGCGACATGTTATGCTGGCAGCCGAACGTACTCTAGCGTTCCGGGCCCCCTGTCAGGCTAGGCATCATAATAATTGTTTTACATACTGACACCAAATTTGACCGTCTAATACATATACACGACTTCTAACAACCATCACGACAGTTTGATCCTTTAAATTAGATTGTCATGCATTGTCACGAATTGGGGTCATTCATCATTAGATCAAATCATTTTAATATCATTGGCTTTTATTTTGTTGAACATTCAATTTTGACTCACAATTTTGTTGAAATTCAAATTAGGAATGATCATTCCAATTTTAATCTAAAGTGTTTCAATATGCATAAAGATTATACATCAAAGTTTGTATTTAAATTAGATGATTTTTTCAATGTTGAAATTCAACTATCAAACACTATATCTTAATAATTCTATAAATTTTTAAACTTATTGCAAAAAATAATTAAAATTTTAATTACCTTTGGCTTTTTTTCTTTTTGTGAGTTTTTTAAGAGCTAAGGAAATACTTTAAGGGGCATATAAAAGGGTGAGTTCTTAAAGAACTTAAGCCAACTCTTTTTAAATAAAATGAATACTGCCACAAAATATCAAAAATGGTGGTGGAGGGTTGAGTTGTTGAATTGGTCAATATTAATGAGCTGTGCCTCTAGGTTGGTAGGAAGAAGAGGGAGATACCTCGCCTCTCCGCGTTACGATTCTGGAAGGCGTAAGTTTTCTTTGACAATCTAGCTGAATCAAACAAGACGAAAGACCAAGTTGAGAAGACGCTCCGCTTATCAGGCTCTTCGAGAGGAAGGAAAGGCGCTTAACTTTGGCATCCTTTGTGGCAAAACCCTCGCTGTGGTCCGATGCACGCTTCAGTTGAAGCAGCGCAGACTGCTACCCAACGAAGAGCTCGAATCCAAGCTCCCCTGGCAAGTCCTTCCTCTTTCTCCTTTTTTTATTTTGAGAATTTTTAGCGAATGATTTTAGGGTTCCAGCCTTAGTAAAGAACTTGCCCTAAATTTCTAGAGCAGCGATTGAAGGGCTTATGACTGTGCGTAATGTGGGTAGTGAGAGATTCTTGCTAGTTTGGGGATAAATTGAACGGCTTTGATAGTTTTGATTGAACGGTTGATATTGATTTTGCTTCTGCTGTCCGAAGAGGCAGGTTTTGGTGTTCCTGCATGGTTGGAAATGGTTGGTTTGGTGCTTATTGCAGAGATCTAAGTTGTGACTATCCCAGCTATTTTAGAATTTGTTCGCATGTGTTACTAATGGAAATCAGCATGACATTGCGATACTTCTGCTGCTATTATTATTATTTTTTCTTTGTTCATGTGCTATTTGCTGCATTCATATTGTTAAGTGGATGGGGGCTGCTGCTGATATATGTTTGCAAATCCAGTTAAAGGTTTCTGTATTTATGCTGAAGATGTTTTTAAGCTATGAATAATGCTATACTGCTCAAGTAAGGCTTCGTTTGGGACTGCTCTTTTAATGCTTCTTAAAGCAGTATTTTAGTACAAAAATTAAAATATTTGTCTAAAAATCTGCTTAAGAAGCAGTGAAAAAGCCGTCTCAAACAAGCCTAAGTCTACATTTAAAATAAGGCCAAGTTAGCTGCCTTAAATGTGACTAAAATCAAATTCAAAATTATTGCTATAAAAATATTCTTTGAAGTATTGTTCTTCAAGAATTCACATATCTGGATCAAATTTCTTATATCTTTGTGAGCATCTTATATCTGAGTAAAGACCTAATATTTCATTAAACATTATGCTAGGTCAAAAATCTTTTGTCTAGGTAAAGGACATTATATTTGAGTGATTAATCATATATATTGGATAAAATCTTATATCTTGGCTAAAGATTTTATAACTAATAAACCTTTATATCTGAATTAAAAACCTCATGTGCTAGCAAACTAGATTGTATTCATATCTGAGTCAAAACTATCTTTTAAAAAGGCTTGGAAATATCATTGCACTTTTTTTTGTATGACTCAAATTTAAGGGAAGATTTTATAAGATGGTGGTTAGACCTGTAATGCTTTATGGTGCAGAATGTTGGCCATTAAAAGTGAAGCATAATATTAAGTTAAGTGTTATAGAGATGAGGATTCTCAGGTGGAAGAGTGGCTTTATTCTTAGAAACATAATACAAAATGAGCATATACATGAAAAGGTTGGAGCAGCTCATGTGACAGATATGATTAGAGTGAATCGCCTTAGATGGTTTGTTTACATAAAACGGCGGCCTTCTGATGACCCAGTTAGGAGAGTTGATGTATTAGATTTATCTTAGATTAAGAAAGGTAGAGGTAAACCTAAAAAGTCTTGTTTAGAAAATATTAGAAATGTCCTTTTTTTATTGGATTTAAATGAGAATTTGACTCTTAATCGGACACAATGGAGAAAAAAAGATTCATGTAGCCGACCCCACATAATGGGATAAAGACTTGATGTTATTGTTGTTGTAATGAATGCTAACTAATGTGGTTCTATTTAAAATGTGATCTATTATGAGAGTGAAGCATTACTCTTCTGGTTAATGACCACATGGGGCTAAGTACATGTTTTGTTGCCTCTTTATAGTTCTTAATTCCTTGAATCTTACACCCTCTCTATTTTTGTTTGCTAAAAAAAACACTTAACCTAGGCTGTGTTTTTTATGCTATATAGAGAATGAATTTATGTAGTTAGTATTTTGTATTACAGGGGAAATTCATTAGCAAATACAGGTTTATGTGTATTGTGAAGCTAGGGTAGCAATGTAGCATCCATTTTGCTAGTGCTTAACTCGAAGCTTCTTGTTGTAGTTCTCCTGAATTGCTATCATCTTCTCTTAACAATGAATCCACTTAAAAAGATCTGCAGGATATTTTCTTCTTTTCTAATATTTTCTTTGTTACCCATTTCACAATTTGTCCTGCGAGCTTTCATATGTAAAAACCAGACTTTATTCTCAGAAAAGGCAACGAAAGGTTCCGAGAGAAGAGTAAGTAGTGTGATCATATTACATTATTTTGATCAAGGGAATCCAGATGGGAAGTAAATAATTTCTTTGTTTTTTTGATGAGCTAGGGAAATGAGGATGCTCTATGATGTGCACGTGATGTAAAGTGAATCATAAAACATCTATGCATTTATTGGCAAATTAGAAAATGTGATTGATGGAAACTAGTGAATTGCTATAAATTATTCATACCTTCATTAATTTGCTATAATTGGCAAATTTATGCTTTCAAATTGATAGTGTTTGGAATATCTGCTTATGTTTTTTGGAGAAAAAATATCCAACAGTTTTTGCTTCATGTTTTGGAATATCTCATGTGTGTTTCTGCCACTCTGTGACAGACTTTGGCTTTTGTTCTTAAAGTAGATTTAAGTGGCAGTGTCTGACTGTTGATGTTTTTCATAATCGTTGAGCAATGTAAAATAGCCCTTATTGATGAAATGCTCCCCAGGCTTATGCAAAATCTTTTTTTACTTGAGAGAAACTGAAGTAAATGTTAATGTGCTAGGCAAGCAAAAGGGCTGGACCGCTGGAGTGCCAAGAGCTTCAGCTGAACTGTATTGAAAATATCCAATTAGATCAGTTGATGCCAAATGTGCATTGACACTAAAATAGTTCCTAACAAGAATGATTGATAAATGAATTGTGAAGACAAACTATAAGGTTGAGATGAAGAACGGAATCTTGTCGGAATGTGTCTTTGATTGAGCTCTCCGAGCTGGCAATCTCTGGATATTTTTATATTTTGCGCTGTTTTTGACTAATTTACCATGATTTCAAGGGATGAATAATTATTCTCCATCTAATCTAGGTTCTACTCTTTACAAAGTCATAAAATGCCAATGCTGGGAGATTTATTCTATGAATTATATTTTCTTGTTTTCTTTTTGAATAATGCCAGTGAAGGTCATGTTCTTTGATGTTGTGCACCTCTCAAGGTCATGGATGCTCATTTACCACTGAAGCAGATGAAATTAACTGTTGAATAGTCTTACTTTTTCTTGCTATAGGTCCATAATCAGTAGCTGTTCAATGCAGGTGATTGGATTTAATCAATTAATGAATGAAGTGTCAAAAATAAGTGTGTTTTCCAAGATAATTCAGTGACACGTGTAGCTGATGTCCCTTATGGCATATCATAATTTTGCTTCTATAAGAAGACTTAAGTGAATTTAGTTTTTATTGATTTATATAATATATTAGATACTAAAAATGGTGAAAAATATATGTATAATTTATCCAAACAAAGAGATAGGAGAAGTTTACGATTTAGTTCAAGTGAAGTGCATTAAGGATGAAGATAAAAAAGTTCTTCTATTAGAAGAGGATATTCAACAAAGGTGGATGAGTTTTTCAATGAAGATTGTGAGAATACGATTGACTTTAGTGATCCTAGCTAATGCAACCTAAGTTCTATAGCAAAGTAGGAGAACACTAGGAATGCAACAAGACACTTCCTTTCAATAAAATATAAACCAACACCAACTGAATGAAATTTAGTAGTAAACAGATATAAGTAAATGATTAAGAAATCTTGCAAAGAAACAACCTAAAACTTAAAATTAACTACCTAAAAAAACCTAGAAAGGTCACCTCACATACAAAACCCAAAATAAGAAAGATTCTCAAAGGAAAGGACAAACCAGTGGTTCACCACATAAATTTTGATCTAGCTCAAATCGGCACTCTGGAAAATGCTAACAAACAGGGCACAGCAACACCTTGAAACTCACAATATTTGGAGAAGAAATATATAGGTGGTATGGGAACCGTGGAGAGAAGATTAAATAGAAGACCGATACAAAATAGAAGGAAGGTAGAATAAGATAGATCGCAAGCTAAATAACCCCACATGTTTTAATGTGATTACATCAGCAACAATAACAACCAACCCCTTCCAGCAGCAAAAAAATCCCATATATATTGGAGAAGAAGGGGGAAGTGTCCATAAATTGGTCACTTAATTATGCCAATCAAACAGCCAATATAAGCCTCTCAAGTTAGCCCATTTAATGAGGAGTTAATGCACTTAATATAGGAAAACAACAAGGTGGAAACCAAATCAATGTTTAAAATTGTGTATTCGGGTATTGAGGCATTTTTCATTCGTGAGGTGAGGCGTAAGCCTCAAGGCGTTTTGAGGTGTAAGCCTCAAAATCAAAAGATTGCGTAAACATAAAATGATAAATTTTTTATATACTAATGAGTGAATAATATAAAACATAAAAAAGCATAAGATATTAAGTGAAATCAAAATATCCCAATAATAAGATAACATGAAATATAGTTCAACTCAAAATTCTATCTTTCCCAAATCCCAGTATTCTTTTCATTAACATATAATTCCAATTTCCAAAAATAAGTAGCAATGACATATCACATAAGAACTCATAAGTCATCAGCACTGTCATCACTAAGGGGTTCTTCATTTGAATCATCATTATGATGAACTACTCTCTCCCCTTCATCCTCTCCTATAGAGTCCAATGTCAGGCATTTACTTCAAGATTTACGTAAGTTTTAATATATATAGCGTGGGGCGTAAGCCTCATGCCAGTGAGGCGAGGCGGGTCTCAACCAAGTTGAGGCGCAAGCCTCATAAAAAAACTCGAGGCGAAGCATCGAGGCGATTTTTACTGGAATTGCGCAAAGGTGGGCCTCAAGGCGAGCCTCATATTGCGCAATTTTAAACCATGAACCAAATAGCCAACAACAGGAAAAAACAGGACAACAACATGGGGAAAAATAACCACCATAGAGAAAGCTAACGGCAGGGAAAACAGGACAGTAGCATGGGGAAAAAAACCCAGTATAGGGAAAGAGTTAGATCAAGCCTAATATGCAAAACAACCCAAAATAAATACCCAACTAACCACCATAGAAGCTAGATCAATGCAAGTCGAAACCAAGGAGTGAAACTTCCTAATATCACTAAACCCAAGCATGATCACAGGTTGTTTTCCATTATAGGGTATTGCAAATTAAAAAAAAAAACCTAGAGTCCAAGGGTTTTTGTTTGAGTAAATCTTAAACCAAATAAATGGAGTATAATTTTAGTAGTAATAGATTTAGTGGGAGGATTGTGACTTTAGGTGATCAAGTCATTAATAAGAGTACACATTTTAGATATCTCGGATCTATTGTCCAGAGTGATTGTGAAATAGATGGGGATGTTATTAGTAGAATTCAAGTTGGATGGTTGAAGTGAAGGAATGCATTGGGCTTGTTGTGTGATAGAAAAGTACCCCTCAAACTTAAGTGAAAATTCTATAAGATGGTGGTGAGATCTGCAATGCTTTATGGTGTATAATGTTGGCCATTAAAAGAGCAGCATAAAATTAAGTTAAGTGTTGAAGAGATGAGGATGCTCAGGTGGATGAGTGGTTTTACTCTTAGAGACAAAATGTGAAATGATCATATACGTAAAAGGTTGGAGTAGCTCCAGTGACAGATAAGATTTGAGAGAGTCGCCTTAGATGACTTGGTCACATAGAATGTCGGTCTTCTAATGACACGGTTAGAAGAGTAGATGTATTAGATTTGGCCTATGTTAAGAAAGATAGAGTAGACCTAAAAATACTTGGTTAGAAGATATTAGAATTTAGAAATGACTTTTTTTATTAGACTTAAATGAGAATTTGACTCTTAACTTGACACAATGAGAAAAATGATTATGTAACCGACCCCATGTAGTGGGATAAATGCTTGATGTTGTTGTTGTAAGAAGGCTTAAAAAATCATTTCAAGTATTACTCTATCATAAACATGTGCCTTTTTGTTTATTCTAATACTGAACATATTGCAGGTCGATTCAGTTTCATGCTATTGTAGAGTTGATACTGGTCTCAAAACTGTGGTCGGAGCGAGGAAATTTGTTCCTGGAGCTAAAATATGTATCCAACCTGACATCCAGCCCAATGGACCCAAACCTAGAAATCCACGCAGAGAGAGATCCAGAACTCAAGCACCTCTTCTACCCAACCTACCTGATGACCTAGCGATTGCTTGCCTCATACGTGTACCTCGAGTAGAACACCAAAACCTTCGGTTAGTTTGCAAAAGATGGAACCGCCTTCTGACAGGAAACTACTTTTATTCCCTAAGGAAAAGGTTGGGTATGGCCGAAGAGTGGGTTTATGTCATCAAAAGAGATCGTGATGGGAAAATATCTTGGCATGCTTTTGATCCAATCTATCAGCTTTGGCAGCCACTTCCTCCTGTTCCTGTGGAGTATTCTGAGGCACTTGGTTTTGGCTGTGCAGTTCTTAGTGGTTGCTATCTCTACCTGTTTGGTGGCAAGGATCCACTTCGAGGCTCTATGAGAAGAGTTGTTTTCTACAATGCTAGGACAAACAAATGGCATCGAGCACCTGATATGCTACGCAAGCGCCAATTTTCTGGATCCAGCGTCATAAATAACTGCCTCTATGTTGCCGGCGGTGAATGCGAAGGGATCCATAGAACTCTTCGCTCAGCTGAGGTATATGACCCTAATAAGAACAGGTGGACTTTCATTGGTGAGATGACTGATGGGATGGTACCTCTCATTGGAGTTGTTTATAAGGGGAAATGGTTCTTGAAGGGGCTAGATTCTCATCGCCAGGTTGTGAGTGAAGTCTATGCACCCTCTACCAACAGCTGGTCAGCGGTGAATGATGGCCTGATGAGCGGTTGGCGTAATCCAAGCATTTCATTGAATGGGAGGCTTTTTTCATCAGATTGTAGGGACGGTTGCAAGCTTCGTGTCTATGATGATGCCACAGACTCATGGAGCAGGTTTATGGACAGTAAACTTCATCTTGGTAGCTCCGTCTCCTTGGAGGCTGCGGCATTTGTCTCGCTGAACGGGAAGCTTGCTGTTATCAGAAACAACATGAGCATCAGCCTTGTAGATGTGTCCAACCCTGGGAGGAGCATTGAGACTAACAGTGCTCATCTCTGGGAAACCATTTCTGGCAAAGGCCAGCTGAAGACTTTTGTGTCAAACCTATGGTCGAGCATCGCAGGTCGGACTGGGCTCAAGAGTCATATTGTTCACTGTCAGGTGCTTCAAGTTTGAGAATTGAAGTCTTCCTGATGTATCCTTTCTCTCATTTCCATACAGGAGCACAATCTTATGTTATGAAGCTGTCAAGGTACGAATTTTTGTAGCAAGGCCCTCTGGAGAAGGAGAAGGGGGTTGCTTGTTCTCTCACAATCTCTAGTTATAGACTTTGCTGTATTTTAGGGAATCTCAACTCAATAGCATTCTGGCCATCCCATGTAACATTCTGCACCAGATCAATGACAGATTGCAGAGGTGAAAATGTTTCTGAAACATTGGTAGCTTCTGGAGTTAAGTTTGATTTTGACATGACAGAAGTAAGTGTTTCCGAAACATTGCACTGTTAGGTGTTAGGTTTTGAGTTGAAAACCTTGAAAGCTGCTTTGAAGAATATGCTGTGGCTTTCAGCCTGCCACACTGTTGGTCTGTGCTATTGGTTCAGGTATGTAATGTAATTATTCCAATGCATGGGAGTAGGATTCTGTTGGAAAGTGAATAAAAAAATTGCAGCTCCTTGATTGAGAAGAAAGCGTCTTTCTGCCTTACAAATGATTTTTTTTAGCTCATTGGTTGGATGCAAATTAAAATCTAAGAATTATAAGCATTGTTCTGATGTGTTATAATTTTAATACCATTTCAACATTTTTTTTGGAGTAGTCTTATGATGAATTTTAGATCCAAAATTAATTGAAGGTCATTTCAACATATTTGGTGTGATTTTATTTTAACATATCTTTTTTTTTTCTTTTAATTGTACAACAACAACTAAATTTGACTTATGTTAAGAAAGGTAGAGAGAGTCACCTTAGATGGTTTGGTCGCATTAAACGGAGGCCTTCTGATGACTCGGTTAGGAAAGTTGAGGTATTAGATTTGACTTATGTTAAGAAAGGTAGAGGTAGACCTAAAAAAACTTGGTTATAAAATGTTAGAAGTGACATTTATTTTTTAGATTTAAATGAGAATTTGACTTTTAACAGGACACAATGGAGAAAAAGAATATATGTAACTGACCCCACGTAGTGAGATAAAAGCTTGATGATGTAGTTGTTGTTGTACAATTACAACAACAACAACAACATCATCATCAAGCCTTTGTCCCACTACGTGGGATCGACTACATGAATTCTTTTTCGACATTGTGCCATGTTAAAAGTCAAATTCTCATTTAAATCTAATAAAGAAAGATAATTTCTAATATTTTCTAACCAAGTCTTTTTAGGTCTACCTCTACCTTTCTTAACATAAGTCAAATCTAATACATCTACTTTCCTAACCAAGTCATCGGAAGGCCTGCATTTTATGTGACCAAACCATTTAAGACGACTCTTTTTAATTTTATCTTCCACTGGAGCTAGCTACTCCAACCTTTTCACGTATATGCTCATTTCGTATCCCATCTCTAAGAGTAAAGCCGCTCATCCACCTAAGCATTCTCGTCTCTGCAACACATAACTTAATATTATGCTTCTCATTTAATGACCAACATTATGCACCATAAAGCACTACAGGTCTCACTACCATCTTATAGAATGTTTTCTTGAGTTTGAGGGGGGCTTTTCTATCACACAACATGCCTGATGCATTTCTTCACTTCAACCATCCAACTTAAATTCTGCTAATAATGTCCCCATCTGTTTCACCATCACTCTGAACAATAGATCTAATATATCTAAAACATATACTCTTATTAATAACTTGATCACCCAAAGTCACAAACCCTACACTGGATCTATTACTGCTAAAATTACACTCCATATATTCAGTTTTAGATCTACTCAAATGAAAACCTTTTAGACTCTAAGGTTGATCTCCATAATTCAAGTTTACATTCAACTCTCTTTTAGTCTTATCAACACTAAGAATATCATCAGCAAAAAGCATACACCAGGGTGCAACCTCTTGCAAATGTCTAGCAAGAACATCCATGTCTAAAAGCAAAAAGATATGGGCTTAAAGTTGATCCTTGATATAATCCAACAGAAATAGGAAAATACTTGGTCAAACCACCTTGTGCTCAAACACAAGTAACTGAACTTTCATGCATATCCCTAATGACTTTAATATAAGCATTATTAACTCTTTTTTTTCAATTATAATACTCTAAAACTAGCTCAACAAGTTTTTTGTGGAGTTGTCCTATTTTGAATTTTATATCCACTTGTTAGTTGAAATTGATTTTAACATTTCTTTATTGTAATATTGTATCTTAAGTTCATTGCAGCCTTGATTTCTTTTTAAATTCTAGCTTAACTCTTTTTTTTTGTAAATCTCTCAAAATTTCTTCTTAGCTTCACAGGTATCGTGGCTTGTACTTCCGCCCTTCTCTTCAAGTCAAGTGATCGTCTGATCTTATGAGTGTTTTAGCGAGGCAATTCATTCATGAATCAAGCTATAGGAGCTCTCTCTCTCTCTCTCTCTCT